CCCGAGGAATTCCTTCCCATTTGTTTTCATCACAATGTTTAAAAGGTTTTGAAAAACTTAGGTCAATGCAATGATCTTCAAAGCACAGAAAAGCAGGTGAAAAGCACTGTCGTTTCATTCAGAACTTCTGGCACAACTGGCACAAGGAAGAAGCGAACACAAGAATGTGAAAATCACTGCTGTTCATTCAAATCTGTTGGCACAATTGGCTCCTCGGCTGAAACAGACTCAAAAGAAAACGAAAAGACAAACACAAAACAAGCAAGTGATGTCCGAGGTAACACCCCCAGAATCACCCGACTCCAACAAAATAGGACTGACTCGGTACAACAAGACAGACCCAACTGGCTCAGTAAGAAAAGACTGACTCTGTACAAAACAACAAGACTGACCCAATACCCAAGTCAGAAAGTACAAATTAACAACATTCGTAAATGTGATCAAAACAGTGCATGCCATCCACCATATCTGGAGTAAACTGAGCGCCACCTGCAGCTAGTTCATCCCCCGATCACATCACATTATCCCCCACAGGTTCACTGGTCGAGTGCCGATAGACTTTGCTGGACTGGCGCGGGGATGACCCCGTTGTCAAACAGATCTTGTATATCATGGCGCAGACGAAAGCAACTGTCAGTGTCATGACCGGTTTGTTGATGGTACGCACAGTACCTAGTATGGTCATGCTTTGGAGGGAGAGGATCAGGTAAAGGCCGTTGTTCCAATGGTTTCAGATGTTCTTTCCGGATTAAGGCCTCTAGAGCCTTTAACAAAGGCATATAAAGTGGGGTGAAAACCCTCTTGACTCGGGGTGGATATTTGGCCGTTTATGAGCTACTTTTGGACGCACCGATGAATGGGGTAGCTTTTTTTGATGTGGTGGTGGTGACCATGCCTATTTCAGAAGATCTTGCAGCTGCATCACCACTGGTGGTCGCATTCGAACTGCGGGTAAACGCCCTCCTGGGCTGCTCCTTCTCCTGGTCAATGAGGCCCTGCTTCATAGCATCCTCGATCTGTACTCCCATCTCATGCAAATCTGAAAAGGTAGGGAAGGGGAGCACAATCATTTTCTGCATTAGCTTGGGCTGGAGGTTGCGCACAACCATCCGTATTTGGTCTTTGTCGGAAGGCCTTGTAGCCATCATCGAGGCCTTTGTTCTCCATCTCGTCACAAACTTTGAAAAACCCTCCTTTGGCTCTTGGTGGGTGACTTCAAGATCACGAGTTGTGACCTCAATCTGTGCGTTGTAGGAGTATTGATCACTGAAGGCCTCAGCCATCTCTTCCCAATTCTGTTTCACAAAGTTCTCCAATTTTGCAGAACGTAGGGATGCATCCCTACGTTCTGCAAAATTGGAGAACTTTGTGAAACAGAATTGGGAAGAGATGGCTGAGGCCTTCAGTGATCAATACTCCTACAACACACAGATTAA